GAAAATTATAAATTTGTCTTCGCAATATTTAATATTTGCATTTATTACCAAGGTTTTAAATTCTAAAGAATAATTTTAAATAATATATTTTAAAATAAATTTTTCTCTTTTAACTAACTATAACATTATTCAAAAAGTGAATTTTTTATTAAATACTTAAATTCTAAATTAATTAAATAACCTTTTCTTAAATTTATTTTAATTACATTTTATATTGAATTATACGCACGATAATATTGCAAATAATAAATTTAAGATCGCGCGCGCGCGCGAAATTTAGAAGCGAGATGAGAACTACTGTTTTGTATCGCGTCTATATACTAAAGTTTCTTCACACGTGCAAGCCATCTGTCAAGTTTTCAACGAAAATTTGCCCGCATCGTTGAAAGATTCGATTAATACCCTTTGAACAGGAACGACAATATTAATTTGTTCTATGTAGTTCATTTCTAGTTATAATTTACTTAGTTGTTTATTTATGATGTAAAAGGATATAAGGTGCAATAAAAATTAAAAACAAATAATTGTTTTCGAATTTGTTTAATAATTCGGCTAATTTTATTTAGATTTCCAATTAAATGAAAATAAATTAGAATAAATCTTTATTGGTATATGAGAAATTCAAATAAATTTGAGATTATCGATAAATTTTATTTTTAAGATTTATTGCAACTAATTTTTAAATAGCAGATGACTAAAGTTTTTTTTTACAGGTTTTAGAAGTGTATTCCGGAAATACTCTACTAGGTAGCGTTACTCAAGAATGGAGCCTTTGGCGACCAAAGTTTTATGTTCGCGATGCATCCGGCCAACCAGTGTTAATGATAAAGGGTCCACTTATTCGTTTTTGTATTAATGTAGCTTTTAAGGTATGCAGCATTCCAAATTTTGCTTAATTCATGCCACTTATAATATTTTATTTTTATTACAATATAGATTATATTATACTAACATTTTTTTATATTTTTTTTTCCAATTAAGAGACAAAAATTTTAAGAATGGATGACAATAAATAATATTAAAAACTTGACGATTATTTGGTTAATGAATTATATTTTATTACATAATAAACGTTAAGATTTTCGGAATCATTCATCAATAATCAAACCCGCAGATTAAATCTATGGATGAAAAACATCGTGTCGGCATGATCCGAAAGCAATGGAGTGGCTTTGCTCGAGAAATGTTTACCGTTTCCGATATGTTCGGTATTCACTTTCCGCGCGATTTGGACGTGAAGATAAAAGCTGTGCTACTAGGAGCATGTATTTTAATAGTAGGTATTGTGAAAATACTATAATCGCTTTTTTAACAAACGAGATGCAAAGAAGAAAGGCATAAAAAGAAACATTGCAACGAGAAAGAAATATTGCCGTTTTGTTTCTTATATTAATATCAATTAATTAATTTTGATTGGTTTTGAACATTTTTCGATTAAGAAATTAAATTGCAAAGAGAAATTTCTAATGCAAGTCAAATTACTATATTAGAATAAACACAATTTAATTTTTAGTATATTTTAACGTTATCTGTTAATGTTTCAGGACTTCATGTATTTCGAGCAGGAGAAATAGGGCAATCTATTTCAATTTTAAAAGAAAACCAAAGCGATTTGTTCCAATGAACATATATCTTCATCAACGTATTTTGTTACATAAATACCTCAAAGACATGTATCAACTTATAAATACCTTCAAAGACCTTGTAACGCACAAATATCTCAAAAAATGTTTAACTACGGAATGCAAAGAGGAATACTTTTATACACATATATTTATATATGTAGATATATATATATATATTTACATATACATATACATTAATATATATGTACATATAATATAAATGAAGAGCAGAATTCCAAAATGCATTTTGTCAAAAATTTCATTTTTTTAGTTAGAGATAGCATATTTCAGTGTTGAAAGACTCATATTATAAGCTACTTTGAGATGTTCAGAAAGTATTTTTTCATCGTTAATTTATATGCTCAAAAAATAGACATTTTGAAGTGCATTATGTTTTTAACTAGAGACAAACAAAATGCATTTGTTTAGCAATTGTTTAGCAATTTTGTTTTTGAATTTACTTTAATTGAATTTGCTTTAGAAATTACAAAACACATTTTGAAAATTGCTCCTCATATATATGTGTGTGTGTGTGTGTGTATGTACATATATATAGGTATATATGTGTATATGTATATACTTAAAGTGGAATGTGAACTATGAATTATAACTATATAATTGTGTATTACACACAATTAGATCAATTCCTTTTTTAATCAGTTAACGAATAATTTTTATCACTTTTATACAAACAAACTGTACTAAAGTATACCTTACATTCACGGAGACGTAATCGAACTTTTGTTCACTGCAGAGTTTGATCTCAAAAAGCTCTCTATTTTATTATGAGCATGCAGTGGCCTGTCTATTTAAATCATTACTCATTTGACATTTTCGATACGTGTATTTTCCTTTTCTTTAAGACTTTACACCATCTTTTGAATATTGTAACGTGTGATATAACAATAAGGGCCGGTTGTTCCAACTTCGGATAAACTATGTGATAATTTACCTACTGAACAAAAGAGTAAAAAAGTAAGAATATAAGAGAGTAAGAGTTTAAGATTGTAAGAGAGTAGGACAGTGAGCTGAAGTTTACCGTAAGGTGAAACAACCCAGTCTAAATGATAATAAATTTTTCCTTCATTTGCACATATACATATATGAATAAAAAACAAGTTCTTACTTGATTTAACATTGAGATTGGCCTCTACTTTGTTGATATAAAATGTATGTAATTTGTATAAATGATTCTGAAAACTTGTGAATTATAAAGTTTATCTTTATATCAATGTCTTATATGCGATGTAAAAACTATCGTATATATCAACAACGTAAAAACTTTAAATTGTATACGATAATATATATTTTTCATCATAATTTTCATAATTTTTTAAATTTATACAATATATAAATATTGCTATGTATTTTATTACTCTTGTAATAAGAGCTTTGCATATTTGTATAGACTAAACAATGTTCATTTAATAAAGTTAAATTTGTTTATTATATGTTATTGTTTGTACGTATTTTCTAACTTACCGAAATATAATTCTTAGCGTAAAATATAGATCTACATTAACAAAGTCAAATAACACAAATAGAAGCGCACTAAATACACTCGAAGGTGCATCTTGAGATTTAAAATTATTTTTGTGTGAATTACTAAATTTTTCAATTCTTCACCATAATTCACATAAAAGTATTATTAGATACCAAGATGCAACCTTACCATATTTAGCATTCCTCTTGTTTTTTATACATTTTATAATATATGAATAAAAAATTCCCGTTTATTGTTAATTTATTTGTAAAACTTTTTACACAAATGCCTTTTGTTATTAAGTTTCTTTTTATTTATACTATACTATTAATAAAACTGATTAATGTAAAACGCCAAGGTCTTAGAAGTATGTGATCACCCTTATTAATATTTTTAACAATGATAATTTCTTCATATTGTAGAATCCTAAATTGAAGATTTACGGTAAATTGTTTAATGAATTATCTACCATGATGGTAAAAAATATAAAAATCAATATACAAATTAACAATTTAAAAATATGTAACAATTAATCTGAAAAGTTACGATAGAGATATCATCAGGATTTCACAATAAAGTGATATATCAGGAATTAGACAGCCGAATAAAATTGGGAGAGTAAAACACGCAACGAAATATGTAATGTGTATGTCTTTTTTTATTTTCGTGTTTCATTATTTATATTCTCACCGTACATCTTGTCGAATCTGTTGGTAATACACTGTCTCTATAATATGCCGCAACGCTTGCTCGCGTGTTTTGTAGTGCGTGTTAAAATCCGTCGCGCAGATGTTCCTTCTTGGCCTCTCACGTGGTAAAAAAGAGAATGAAAAAACATGAATGTCGCTCTCCACCATCCGCAGACTAGAAAGACCGCAGAGTACTGAGAACAGCACTCCCCGCGATCCCTTGATGCTCCGTGGCAATCTCAAGAACACGGATAATTTAAAAACCGTCGTCATTGTACGAATATCTCTTAAAACAGCGACGACATCTTCCTTCTCTTTTCCCTTATTATCTCGTTTAATAGACAATCACGACGAACTGCAGGAGACTAGTACTAGAGCACTACTAAGTGTGTAAACGCGCGTGACTATGTATCGATAACAAATGCGATTGCAACCAAAAGAAAAAAAAGAAAGAAATTTAAACGAAATCGCGAGTGCGTTGCTTCGAGAATATTTCCCGATCTTTCAAAATTACATACTAAGAACGAGAAAAAAAGGAACAAGTGTACGAAACTAAAATACTGTCGAATACAACGTGCGAAGTGCGATGTGAGCTGACCTCTAATAAAGCCATCTTTTTATCACATTTTTGTTTCCCTTAGTTTACGATTTCATATTTACGATTAAATTAACGACAAGATACCGTACAAACATAATATAAAGTATATAGCGATTAGTAAATAAAAAAAAAATGAAAACAAAAATCGTATATTAAAAAATTTCACAAAATACGATTAACTTCCTTCTAAGATTTCCTATTCTATTCATAAAGTAATATAATTTATAATTACGGTTATTTCATATACGAACAAAGTTTCTCTTTATTAATTGAAGCTAAGAAAAAAAGAAAAAAAAGTAATGAAAAGAAGATGGCTTGAACACGGACAGCTTACATCGTACTAAACAGCGCTAATTACGATATTTATATATACGTCTTTATATATGTATAAAGACGGGTAACGCGAAAATGGCTGAAAAGCTCGATGCCGCCGGCGTTAGATCGTCGTTGAACGATTTTTTCATGCTCTTGCGATTTATTCTCAGAATAAAATCCTCACGCCGTAGACACAGTTTCCAGCGTAACGTCACGTAAATACAGTGGCGTCCGACGGGGCTACGATGGAGAGTAAACGAATACGAAGTGTATCAGGGGAGGGGGTGGGTTTAGAGGCTGGCTTCGATTTTGATGAGCTCAGCGATGCCATCATTCATCTCCTTCACAGCCTGGTACTCGGTCAAACCGAGACGGCGCTTATTAGAGATGTCGTAGATGCCGCCTTCGGCCTCGGTGTGCTCGCCACGAGTACCGCGCACCTGTAGATTGTACTTGGCTGCTACCTCCTCGAGCTTGGCCATGTTTGCCGCGAGTTTCGGCACTTTGATGTGCACCGAGGCACGCACCGTCGTACCCAGATTCGTCGGGCAGAACGTCAGGAAGCCAAAGCGATCGTTGTGCGAGAATGGCAGCCGCTTCTCGATCTCGTTCACCGCTGTCACTAAGCGTCGGTATACCTGGTAAACATGAATTAGTTAATACTTGGATATGTCAATGGTAACTACATTGTAATGCTAAATTAAATTCGTTAATCAATTACGAGATCTTTTTTAACAAACATTATATCGTTTTTACGTAACATTTACAATATAAGTTTCAAAAAAAATTTTTAAGCTATTACAAAAAAAATTCAAAATATTTTTTAGATATTTATGTTAATAATGTTCTTTTAGACATTTATGCTTGTTAAATGTGACTGTATAACTGAAAATTAGTTAGTATACTTGGTTAAAAACAAAAAATTCATTATATATAATGACAAAAATGTCTTTAGGACTCAGACAGAATAAAGGGAATATTAATAAGAAATAACAAATTTCAACCTATTGAGAAATAAGTGTATATTCAGTTTCTGATAAAATAGGTTGAAATCTGTTATTTCTTATTCTTTTTATTACGTTTGAGTCTGACTTATTTATATTATCGTTTCTGAATACACTATACACAGAAAAATTAAAAGATTACTTATTGTGCTCTTCAAAAATAAGTAATTTTCAAGAAAGAGTAACTTTGTAAAAAATGATTATGAAATGATTTAAATAAAAAGCATTTTGAAGTTTTTATTTTTCAGATTGATATTTTAGACGATTTGATTTTTTACGGATTTTACTGATTTTTTTACAAAACTATACGGATACAAATGGAAGGTCATTAAATCTTGAACTTTTTTTACAAACTTTGCAAAGTTCTATTATTCTCTACGTGAATTAAAAATACAAATACAGTTTATAGTTTTTGAAAGAACGAATCTTTATCTTTAAATTGCATATTTATTGATTGTTGTGCGATCTTTTTACTGAGTTATTCAGCATTGAAGTAAAAAGTATCTTTTTTTTTGCATTAACTGCTCACGGAAGACAAACTCTTAAAAAATTGCCTATTTTTGAAAGAACAAGTTATCCCTTAATTTTTTTAGCATAGTGTAGTTACCTGTCCAAGATCACCACCCATCTGCATAGAGATGATGCGAAGATGGTCTTCTTCGTTGCACCAGACCAGGAAAGTCTTGTCGTCATTATGGAAGATGCCACGTCCGGTGGGCCAGAAACGGCATGCGTTCGCTGCTTGAAGGAAACGATCGCCCTCCTTGAAGAGGAAATGATCGTCGATCAGCTTCTGCTGCACTTCCTTGCTCATGCCGGTAAGCGGGTAGAAAGTACCCTTCAGTTCTCCGGCGAGGCCTGACAGCGTGCTGGATACCTTCTCTTCCATCTCCTTATACTGCGCCTCCGTCAGACACGGGTTGAACGGATATCCATCTAAGGAGCGGCCGCATCGCACGCGAGTCGACACAATATATTCACCCTGTTATAAAAGGAAAAAGTCATAAAAATTTCATAATAGTAATCTATTTATATATAATTTAATAATTACTATTGTAAGATTTAATCGTACTAATATTATTTTTTATACATGAAGAAACCTGTAATAACAAATAAAATTTGTAGGAAGAACTTACGGTGGGATCGAGATTGCCAAAGTAGTCGACGTCACCGAAGTCCTTGGGCGGATGCTTGTCGGACTTCTTGAAGCCGCCATGATAGTCGTCGATGATGGGATCGAAGATCTCAGCGAAGACGGTGTATGCCTCGGCGTCGGGCGCGTAGATACCAACGCCAGAATCATGATTCTCCAAACCAGATTGAATAACGTCCAAAAGAGTAGAACCAAATGAGGTCTTTCTGGTCTTGAGTTGATCGAAGACTTCTTTGGTCAAATATTTCTTCAGCAACGATTTGCTATCGGACTCAGCCAACTTCGCAAAGCCGGACTCCAGTTTGTCCAGAACCGCTGCGTCCACCATGTTGTTACTCTTTTTACTGTAACAAAATGTTCAAGAATCACGTCAAAGATGAAAAAATTTTTCATCATAATAATGAAATGAAATAAGACAGTTTTTTGTAACTCAATTGAAGGAACCAGTCCAATCCATTCGGAACTCGATTTTTCATTATTTGGTTAACTTGTGGTTTATATTTCACCTCACTTGATAAAAATTGTATTTTCTAGCTATGATTAATCATTAAAAATAGTTTTATAGTGGTAATTTTAAAAACAGTTTAGTGATTACCTATAGATAGAAAAATATATTTTTTATATTACCATCAAGTTAAGCCTAATTACAAATTAACTAGCAAATGAAAAACCGAGTCATAGTCTGTCTAATTTTGCTTATTCAAGAACTTGATAAAATTAATTTGCGCTCGATTTTCTTCATTTAATTTTAAGATTAATTTAGGATTAATTCTCTTAATTTGAAAAATTAATCCTTCAATTGATATTATTTCGCCTTGCTCGTTGTGGTCTCTTTACAGCGTGCAGAACATCAAGAAGATACGCATTAAAAATGGATGCTGCAAATAAATACGTAGAGCCAGTTGCATTTGTATACTATAATGTTTAATTGCGAGTGCAAAATATTTTAACATCTGTCGTGTCTGAATACTTGGCGTTAATCCGATTAAATCGGATAATTCTGACTTGAATCATCCACGTGGTGTTCCGTCGATTTTATTCAACGAAGTGGCTTTGCTCTTATACACAAATTTTCTATTTCTTATATACTTGATATCTATACTTCAGGTATGCTTTTAAAATTCCTTTGGTGCAGCGTGTGCCTCGTTGTGATACGCGGTGCACTTTCATCTGCTAACTCTAGGATGCACTGCAAGTTAAAAATCCATGACGCGAGGAAGAAGCTCATTGTAAAAACTCATTATACAACTCCTTTTCTTTAAGTTTAAAACATTCCTTTTTTTGAAGCGTTAATCTAATTCAATTGTTTAGTTTTAAAAAATTAACTCCTTCGATTTTTCAATCACACGTTAATCATTTTTTAAAAGTGAGTTTTCGAGAAAGAACAAAGAATGACTTGTTCATAAAGCCTATTCTACAATGTGTTTTTCGTTTCCAGTTTCTTGTTTTTTTTTTGTTATTTTTTACATTTTGTCTTTTTGCTTCTCATCTGGTTTTTTGTTTTTTATCACCCCAGATAAAAGTTAATGAACTTTGGAAGAAACAGGAAACAGTAGCAAGAAATATACAATTGTTAAAACGGTTGCAAAGGGGGGGAAAAAGCAAGAGGTAAAAAGCAAGAAATAGGAAACAAAGAGCATATTGTAGAATAGACTTAAGAGTATCCCGATGGGGGAATTTGTTTATGCCTCCAACGTTGCGAGAAATAGATGAATAGACCGACAACTCTCAAACGGTCCACCGAATCCGTTCAAAAGGAATAGAGTTCGCGGAGTGCATCCTAGGGTCGAATGCCGAATGAGCATACATACACGTCGTCGTCGTCGTCATTGACGTTCTCGGTTTGTTGGACAGTTTGTTGGACGGTTTGTTGGACATTTTGTTGGTCGTCCGCAGACTCGCATATACCCAGCGACGAGCATACACCGCCCATCGCTCGTCGAAACACGATTATGCGTCGATCGTCACGTCGATTCGAGAATGAGGAGAGACGAGACGAGACAGTCTAGCTCATGCGAGATCCTTTACGCGGAACACATACGAGGCGGGCATTGATGTCGCGTTAAACCATCGCGCAAAAATCCGCAGACGTCATAAACCCAAGAGATTAGCCTGGCAAGTTTGTTAGACACACAATTAAGGAGAAAAAAAAGCGGGAACTCGGAAAGTTGCTCATATCGCCATATTCAACTATTCAGATTTTTATCAAGACTTTCCTAAGTTAGATTAAATTCTTTTTTAAACTTCCTCCTTTTAAACTCCTTTTATACATATTTAAAATTCCTATGAATACATTAAGAATAATGGCACACCCAGTATACATTATTACTAATAATAATTTAAAGTAATACTTAGAATAAGTAAACCTTACTTCAACAGATAAAAGGTCTGTTCCTTTCAACTTGATCTTTACATGGTTTCTCTTCTCTTTTTTCTACATTTGAGAAAAAAAAAGAGAAAATATGAATATTAAGAAGATATAAGGCGCAAAAAGTTCAGCTAAAAAAAAGAAGAGGCCTATACACAAATCGCAATTGAAATTCACGTAGAATAAAACAAAATCTTAGTGTATCTAAAACCGAATAAGCCTCTTGGAAGGAAAATCAGGAAAAATGAAGAGAAATGGGATAACGGATCAAAACAGATGAGAAAGAGAGAAAGAGAAGGAGGCGATCTTTCTCATCCCATTGAAGACTTTCTCACGGATACGTACTCGTCGCCCGACGTGGTATCCTTCGAAGTACATCCGCCCATGTCGCTGCAACGAGGAGACTACGGCGACAAAGACGACGCCCTTGACGAGCGAGAGTCGAAGATGGATGGAAAGAAAAAAAAAGAGAGGCGAAAGACTACGCGATCGAGCAAGAAAATCGGAGATCTCGCTCGGTACTCGAACTGTCCTTAAACGCGAGGATCAGAGTGTCTTTCACGTAATTCTGGAGCTCGCACACGCGACGATCAGGCAGGACCGTTAGCAAGTTTAGGTAAAAACGCACGCTTCCGCGACGCACGAAACGGCGAGGAAGAGAAAGAGAGAGAGAGACGCGGGTGTGGACGGAGAATCGTCGGTGACGAGAGTCCTTCTCGAATCACGGGGGGGCGATTCCGTCCGTCCTCTCCTGTTGCAATTTTCCAGTCGCACTGCACCTCCCCCAGTCCGGCTGTCAGATCGAAGATCCTAATGATGAATCCTGACGAACTATCCTCGGCCCGGGCTCAAACGTCAAGGGCTCGTGGTGAGCTCGTGGTAGGTCGCGGTGGGTCAAAGGTCGCGGCCGAGAGACCTTTCTCTCGTATTTACTGCCCGTACGTTTCCTCTTCTTCCTCCTCCTCCTCCTCCTCTCTCTCTCTCTCTTTCTCTCTCTCTTTTGCTGCCCTTCCGGTTGCCGCTGCTGTCGCTGGATACCGCTGCTGCTGTTGCTGGTGCTGCCCTTCCGGCTCCCGCGTGTCTCTCCTCTCCGAAGAGCGATCTACTGATGCACGAGGTAGTGGTGCTCCTGTTAGCTCTCGCGTTAATTCCGTCGCGTTACAGCGCTCGCTCGCGACACGCTTCGCGCGCACCGACACGCCGGCTACTTCCCGGGAACGAGCGCGATTTTCCACGATGGTTTTAGAGAGGGGATGATTCTTTTAACCCCGGTCCAAACGTATATCTTGGAAGCCAATAAGTCTCAAGAGTTTATAATAAGAGAAACGTATAAGGAACGTAACGTACGATATTCTTGTAAGAAAAAATTAATACGTGGATTCTTTTTATTTACCAATTTGCATTAAACATTCCAAATGTTCCAAATCAATTCGTTAAATTATAATTAAACGGAAAAATTCTTGTCAAAAAGACAATTTAACGTCGCCAAGAGAAGATCAGAGATTTCTCATTTTTTTTAAGTTACTTCCGTAAATTTAAATGACTTAAATTAAGCGCAGCGAATACGATTCACTGGATAAATTAAATAATTGGACAATTAGATAACGACAAAAAAAATTGCCGGTCACGGAATTAATGCGAAAGGGATCAGGGAGACTCTCAGCTCGCGGTCATTATAAAAAGGGTCACAGGCATTCTCCGGCTCGTAATTTTGTCCAATCGAGAGGCCGCCTCGTCCCGCTATAATTCGAAGATGGTATAATACGCGTAATTACACACTTTGAACGTGACGAGAGACGCTTCGCCGAGAGCCGGCCGTCGCATCGAGTCGCACGCACTCTAATAGCTCTAACAGGTCTACACTAATGTCGCTTCAACGGACGATGCTTGCAAGAGGGGGAGAAATTTACCACGGATTTACGGGGGGGGGGAGAAAAAAAATCAGCGAACGTGGGTCAAGCTCGTATCCACTACGTTGATCTCACTTCTAGTTCCGTAAAATGACGAAACGCAACGCGTCGAGGATCCCGGCAGCTCCTGGCGGGGTTGTATATAAGCAAGGAAATTGTCACGAGGAAAATCTCAGCCGCCGCCGGGGAAAGGGTGGGAGGGGTGAAAGGTCCCTCGTCTCGTTCGCGGTGTGTCGAGGAAGTGGGGAGAAGGGAACAAACGCCGGATGTTGAAAACGGCAACGCAAAACGTGACGAAACGAAACGGAAGTAGCAGCACCACCACCTCTTTCGGAAATTCCTCGACGAGACTCAGTCACGTTTCCCGCGGCAGAG